AGGACAATCCTCTTGTGTGTGACAACGTTGAGAAGATGATGTTCGACTCCTACGAAGTCTGTGTAGTAGTCTGCCCGATGTACAAAGACTATTTAGACAGTCTTCATTCGGCAAACAGTCGATAGGACTATCACAGTACCTTGAACAGTATTGCCTAGCATTGCATGTATTATTACAGCAACTTTTGAGGCCAAAATCACGACATTCGGAGTTGAAATCACAGCGAATTTGCAACGAACTCGAACCGGCCGCCATTGTTATGAGAATGACAACAAAAGGAAGCCATTTCATCGCACGCAACCGAATTCTTTGATATTTGCGATTTAGTTGCTTTTTTGGATTCGGGATTGTTGCTGTAGTTTGGTTCTAGCTAACCTGGGCCAACTGTTTTCAAAACTTGAGTTTACTTTAGCTTTCGATAGCTGTACTACAACTGTTGTTGTAGCCGGCAACCGGCCGACTGCTAATTTATATGCGTATTAGAAGTACGACGTACTATTCTATTTTTAGATCTGACTTCAGCGTCGACTGTCGGAATTGGCTTTTAAAACCGAAAGAAAAAAAATCACATTTGTGATTCTTTTTATGGTCAACTTGAATTTTTCATAGTATTAGTACAATTTCATCGACAACAGATTTTGTTGATTGTTTTAGACAGAAAGAAAATATTTCAGACAGTAAATTAAATTAGAAAGTGATTATATATAAATGAAATTGATTCCCTGCGAGCAGAGGATAGGAAATATTCCTCTGCTCGCACGGTATGAAATTAACTATAGATTACATAACTTACTAAACACAATTGATTTTTTTATATTTTTTTATCTTTTATTTTTTTATTTATCTTTTTTTTTACAAAGAAACTTTCGTCTTTCACTGTTATGAAAAAGCGACTATGGAAATATTTCTTTCCCCTACATAAAAACGCTTTGAATGGCAATATCCTTGAGCGATATGGTAAATTTACTTTAATTCTCTTTTTATTCTAAGCTTTATTTACAAGACTTTTGGTAAKGAAATTATAATATCAACTAAACTACATACATTCCAAATGCTTAGTTTGAGTTACCTGTGAAAGAACGCTGGAATGACAGGAAGTTGCGACTGTCAGGAAGTTGCATGCTGGTATACATGACGCCATACATAGTTCAAATTGACGTTTGTAAACAGTTGAAGTTTGGATCTATTGAGCTTCTCGCTGAGAGCTAGAGATGCTAATATATAGCTATCGAATATATCGTTTATTGTGACTGCTTGCGTACGTCCTCTTTGATGCAGTCATTCTGATGTATTCTGCTTCCCTTCCTTTGACCATAATCACTAACTGTTAAAATTGAATGTTTCAGTGTGACGTAATTATACGATAAGACAATTGAACGGTGAATGTTGGCATAATATTATAATTTTATACACTGAACTTCCATATTTATATTTTATTTTATTTTACAGCAATATACAGAAATCATGATCATTCTGACTCATGTTAAAAGTGTATAAATATATAAGAAATTATGGGGTATCATCGCCAATATTTTTTGAATATGCCTAGCACTAGCACTAGTACTTTCTGAGAAAATATTGCCGACAATATCCCATAATTTCTGATATTTTTTATATGTACTTGGAACATATGATAAAATTCGTATCTCCAAGCGAACATGTAATATTCTTTTTATCATAATTACATATGAAAGCAAACTTATGACATAGAATCTTACTTCCACTATATAGAGAAACACTCGAATGTGTTATATTTTCACTGGTGAAAATATCAACTTTACGCAATGGAAAAATATAGGTATTTCATAGATCATATATGATAAATAAGAATATTCATCGAGATAATATTCCATCACTTTGCTACGTGATCAATCGCATACATCGATTAGAGAATGCGGCATGCGTGAATCCCCATTGATTTCCCTCTTCAACTACCAAGGAGTTTCCACTACAAATTGTCTTCAAGCGTGTCTTGCGTGCGCCCTATGAGTTCATTACGATGGACGTTTTGATCAAGTCAAATGGACTGAGATACCAAGATGAGCTGCTACAGAATACTAAGTATAATCTCCTTAAACATAATCTTTTTACTTCGATAAATTAATCTTATAATATCATATGACAGGTTAATCTTTCCATGGCGAGATTCGTGACTCGGTCAGATTTAGCGTGACAATATCATGGAACGTCTGGTCACGCGAGTAATCAAAATTGTAGAAGTCACGATATTGGGTTATAAATCACGGTATTTTGTGGTTCGCATAATACACTTCTCAATAATCCTTTTAGATATTTTTTAGTATTTCTTGCTAAAGAGGGACATAAAACAATAGATTCGTTCACAATGTAATACCAACTAGTCTCACTTAGTATTTCTAACGAATAAACAACTAATAGATTATGTAACCATTGATTATCATCAAACGAAAGCTACGTTTTACAAAAATACTAGTTAAATAAAATCCCCCAAACACCCGGGAAGTTGCGGGAGTCAAGGCCGATTTAACCCTGGTCTGATTTAAACATATCTCACGACCAGGCGACAACGAAATACTGGGAATGCGTCATATAAAATGCATAAAATATATATATATATAGTATTTCTACTTTTTTTGTCATTAAGCTTGGAAAAACTCCCGACATATTAATGATATTCATTGAAATGATACCCCCGGGGGTTCATGCCGGCGACACGGCGACCTCTTAATAATAACTGGCTGTAGCAAACACGATTAATTGAGATGCGCATAAATAGGTATTATTTCGCTCAATGTAGCCTAAAAGGCTTAAGATTAACCTTATATATTAACAGAGAAAAATGACCATTAACAAGTCGAACATCGACTTAAAATAAATGTATTCGTATTTTTTGATTTTTTTATCAAAATATACGATTTCCGGTCACTCATTTCTCTGTATAAATTCTTTCATACATTTTTACAGGAATGACTGCCTTAAAGCTTACACCACGACATTATTAAACTGAGAAATGCACTCACATACACACTATATTTCTAAACTAAAAGAGTTTTTACTGAAAGGAAAAGTGTCAAGCGTACAGAATGACATTCCGTTAAGACTCAATCAATATAAACACGGATACAATCAAGTAGATTTCGACAAGTTATAAAGCTGCAGCTACACGATCGATTTTTCTCTTGCGCAGGCGACGTGATTTTCTCAAAATCACCAGCGCACGATGTGGCTACACAAGCGACAGTGCTTTATCGATAAAAAAATCCTCATAAATACAGCTTATTTGAATCTCCATAAAGAGGTAGATGTGCAAAAACAGCTCAAATTCGATATTCAGCGTTCATCGTACCCGAAAATCGCAAAAAAGCGAGAAATCGCTCTTGTAGCCGCGGCTTAATAGTCAAAGTGCAATAAATTGTAGTAAGCTAAAAAGGCAAGGCAAGCATGCAGAATGAGTGTGAGGTCCTTAAACCCGTGAAACAAAAATTGACTATTAAAGTGTGATAATGAATGGGAACTGATCTGAATTTAACTCTTTTTTACTCTAACGTATTATATATGTACTTATACTGAATTTTAATTCTATTTTACTCTAACTTTTTAAATATGTATTGAACTTTTTATACCTTTCTTTTTTTCCCCTTATATTGTAAATAATCTGTACATATATTTATTATACATATCTTGTAAAAAACACTGTACATGTTTTCATAAGGTGTTTTAAATAAAGTTATTATTATTATTATTATAATCAAATAGACACAAAAGAAAATAATTCAATTACAGAGTACTAAGGTGTATTAGTGTAATATCTATTTCACGGGTTTTTCGAATTTAAAGTGTACGGGGAAAGTGCACTAAAAATGTATTTCACGTGCTAGACAGATATAAAACTGGTTAAATAGATATTATACTAATACACCTTAGTACGCTCTAATTGCATTGTTCTTTTGAGTCAATTTTACTATATCACACTCTAATAGTCAAATTTTGTTTATGGATTTAATGAACGATTCACTCTCTAAAGCTGAAATAAGGCAAACGTGCGAGATAAAGTGTTAAATATACAAAGTGTCTTTACGGTTTAGAGAGTAAATTAAAACTTAAGCATAGTTAGGTATCTACATTGATTTTTAATAKAGTAAATGCWGGAGAAGGAATGCTGTCTTATTCTATAGTGCAAAAAATAACAACGAAATCTAAAATAAAACTAGTTTTGACTTCCTGTCCAATATCATCCAACAGTTCGCCATTGATTTAGTTTCATACTTCAAAATATTTGAAAAGATAAACAAATCATTGATGAACTTATACAATAAAATCACTAAGAAATACAAATAATAACATTAATTCCACGTTCCCCTTCAAACCACATTAAAAAATCCAATGCATTAMAAAATGCTTTAAGAGGTATTTCGACAAGGAATCGTCTACCTCTAAGTAATCYATACTGACATGTATGACGTCATTATGCGAGCTGACGTTCTATATAGCAATATAAGATGATAGACTTAAATATGATTTGATCTGATGAGGTTTGTCACAGTTTCGAAAGTGTCATTTTAATCTTCAATTGCAACCGAGTGAAAGATTCCACAGCTAAGTGACTAAATGACTGAATGACAGACATGATGATGAATGGATATGTCGAATGTTGGCTCCTTTGTGTCGTCATCGTTCTAAGTTCTCGATGTGCCTGCAAACACTAAGCCATGAACTTAAGTAATCAAATCATCAGTGCTAAATGTTACTGAATTATTATACGATTTTTTTCTATCGTTTAATCTACAGTATATATTGCGCTATTTAGTTGATTTGGTTAGAGTGAAGTCAAAAAACCCCGTGAAATAGATATTACACTAATACATCTCAGTACGCTCTAACAGCATTGTTTTCTTTTGTGTCTATTTGACTCACTTTAATAGTCAAGTTTTGTTTCACGGGTTTTTAAAATGATTTCACTGTAGAGTGCAAAAGTTAAAATCATGAAAAATCTTGATGAATATGTGCTAAATTGTATTAAATCCTGAGAAGTTGCTTTCTATTTAGAGCGCTATTTGGCTATTATTTTTTATGTTTCCAATGTTTGCACTCTAATTTATTCATATAATTCCTGCTTTGGTCAATAATGCTAGCTGTGTCTGTTTATACACGACCTTTTGACTATCCTACATTTGCGGCATTATTGTATACTCCAAGCTCCTAACGCACTTTATTAGATATTTATTAGAGAATTATTGAATATTTGGATGAAMGGAATGAATGGAAAAATGAAAGTATGCCAATGAGTGACAATATTTGATTAAAATAAAAAATGAATTTATCTTTATTTTATATTTTATTTATTTWWTTTTTTTYAGTAAATTGCGGCCTTGTTCTATCGACGCAAAACCTCCATTTGCGGCTYACAGCTATTTTCTTCACTTCATTTTTTATTATCATTTGATATCTATCATAACAAATTTAAAAAATTGACCTGTTGTAGCATAATAATTCACAAATACAATAATAAAAATATCCTCTAGAGACGAGCAATCTGTCCTTCTCGTTGCTCTCTTCCAGTTAGTTRTATTCCTATCTTATCGCTCTACTCTCACGTTAACGTGGTTCTCGCCATGCGAGGCTCCAATCACTGATACATGAATAAACAAAATTACTTGAAATCATCTCAGCGATAATAAACCTTGATAAATGACTTAAAAGTRGTCCGTTATATTGACATAGTACCTTTTACTGAAATCTTGATGTGCGTTTACAGTTGTTCACCCTTTTAATGCGTGGTAAAGCCACTATATTCGTAACTTGCACTCATTCCACCGCATGTTTAATTGGTTAATCTTTGTTATTTCGATATTTCCTGATGGAGATAAACTATAGACTTCAAAGAATGGCTACTATTTGTGCTAAAAGGCTCTGTTTGTCTACTCTTTTTACCACCCCATTACGGTCTGAAATGACCCCCTATGACTACTCCAGAATATGATCATAATTATTCAATGATGACATTAAAAGGATAAAAACAGTTCTTATCAAGATCTATGTATAATTCAGGCAACGTTATCACTCGTAAACCCATATAATGTTACAAGTGCACTTTCCGGTACTTAAGGCCTCAGATCAGGAGTATTCGCTCAATGTTCRAACCTGTCAATGGCACTCTAAGCYGATGCTCTCGCTCTCTAGTAACATCATTTCAAGCGAAACGTCCTAAAAACAAGCCATGAATCAGTCGATAGAGTCGGAGGCGCATCTARGCAACCAAGTAYCCGAACCTCAAGTCTCCAGAGTGATACGCCTGATTCTTTACGGGGTCATTTTCATTTTGACAGTCGGGGGGAATATATTGGTATGTACCGTAGTCATGAAGAATCGAAAGCTCAGGAGCATGCAACGATTTTACTACGGGTATTTCTTAATGAATTTAGCCTTTGCAGACCTTTCGGTCGCCTTTCTGTGCATTCCCTTCACTATAGTTTACTACGAAACGGGGGTATGGCCGTTTGGAGTCCTAATGTGTAAAGTTGTGCCTACGCTTCAGGTCACGAGCGTAAGCGCGTCAATCTTTACGTTAACGGTGATGACTTACGAGCGCTACCAGGCTATCGTACGCCCGTTGAAAGCGCAGATCTCAAAACGCAAGGTCTTTGCAATGTTRACAATGGTATGGTTGCTTGCGTTTTTTTCCGCCTCGCCGCAACTSTTTGCGTTCCAGTTTAACGAAGACGTAGAGAAGACGGCGTTTCAGTGCAGAGAAGTTTGGTCAGAGCAGAGTCATCGACAAATCTACACAATGGTGTTGTTTGTTGGTACATACCTTATGCCCTTGATGGTTATTTTCCCAACCTACGTCAAAATGATGATCACCTTAAAACGATCCCATTCCTTCAACAATACCGACAAAAAACTAAGATGGAAAAGTCTTCGAGTTCTAATCGCCGTTGTAATCATCTTTGCGTCCAGCTATATTCCCCAACATATCATGTTTTTAGCCATGGATTTTGGAAAGGGTTTAAGTTTTCCATACTTCAAGATCACGCTAAATTATTGTTATCTTTTAGTGTGGATCTCGAGTTGTTCCAATCCGATCATYTATGGGGCTTTGGACGACTACTTTCGTGAGAAATACAAGATTATTTTACGTCATTGCATAGCAGTCAAGCAATCGACGCAGATTGTCTCACGCATGACACTATCCAATTCACAAGTGGATGTCAACCCACAAAAGACCACTAAATCTGCACGTCTCACCTCGGYTGAAAAACAATTGGGAAAGGGACACGAATCCGAGATAGAGAAACAACCTTTGAAAATTGACTCAAACGTCGCTTTGATAGAAAACTAATCCAGAAAAGGGCAAGCCCGCGAGACACACCCTTACTCAAAAGCGGTTGGAAAGATCGAGGGCATAACTTATGAAAAAAAGAAAAAAACAGGAATTAAAGTGACTGAAACCTCATGTTGATTATAACACTTTGCCGGATGATTGACGCAAAAAAGGCCAAGGCGGTGTAGCGGACTTCTAGTGGAGAGTTGGGAAAAGGGAGAGACTCCAAGACAGCGATTCGGTCTTAAAAAATGACAAACGTCAAATAGATTAACACTTTGGCAGGACGAGAGAAGGCCAATATTTATGAGGAGTTAGTCATGACAAAATGTTCAGAACTCCAAGATATCCTTACGTCTTTAAAAAAGTCGTTTGATATTGGTCCTATTTGCCATTGACACTGATTCGATGGGGCATTATCCTTGAAGGAATTTCGTTGTCAGCCCATTATAGAGTACTGCGACCGAACTGGGATATGGGATATATGCCGAACAATTCTTGAATCGARAATTTCAAATAGACATTTAAAGCTTTGAAAGATAGCAACAACAACAGGCAAAACAAAAAAAGCAAKATTTCAAACAAAATAAACCTAATTTAATGAAAGTAATAAGATGGGTTTCGCGCATTTGATGAAAAACTGATGTATATATAATYATTAAGGAATGATATTCCTGCATTGATGGGACTTTTGACTGAAATCGGCTATAGATATCAGTATCACTGTGACTTGAGCTACTTTATAATATCCTTTGTTTAATTTCTGCTTAAATTTGATAAATCGGTGCGAAAATTTATGAAATCGAAGGCTATGYAAAAATGGAGATCTTGATTGACATGTCAGAAAWATCTTATTACTGCAGGGTAAATTTACAAAGATTTTAAATGGCGATGAAAAATAACTTTAAAATTTTTATTTTATTGAAAGGTACGTCTCATTCTTTCAATGCTAATTAACTGTATTTTTACATGTTTTTTTTTTTTTTAATTTTTCACATTACTTCGTTGATAAATTCGCCAGCGACTGAATCTTTTGACTTTCAAGGTATGTTTCTGATATTTAATATTGTTATATTTTCTGATCGATGATCCGTATCTTTCCTTTAACTTTTTACAATATTTCATGGTTACTGGATTAATCCATCCTTCATATTCAGTATTCAGTTTTGAGTCGTTTGTTTTGCTTTCCTTTTATCTGAGGTTTCATAGCCCAAATTCAACGTATTGGTCGACTAATCACGCACAAAAATAAATTGGAGACGACGCTTTATGGGAACCAATAGCTGTTTCTTTTGTCATTAGAGCCTCACTTCGATTTTTTTGTTTATAACATTCTGTCAGTATAGCGAAAGTAGCTATYTTTATATTATATTAGATATGGGAATTAATTTATTTAAGTTTTGTAAAAAGAGATTTGGGCGTTTTRAATGGACGCGCGCGTCTACCGAAACTAACTTCAAACAGTCTTTAAGAMACATGTCTATTAATGGCGATACACTAGACTTAAACAAAACCTGCTAATTATCATAAAAAGCTTTCATCAACACTTCGTGATTAACCGTAACATCAAATTAGCCCTTGAGTTATAAAGAACAGCGCGCGCAAACTATGTGTATTAGACGCTGTCGCTCCTATCAATATCAAGATATATATATATATATAGTACTTTGTTTGATAAATGGAATAAGAAATGGTCAGTTATTAATATGGAAGATGTGTAAAATTCTCGGATTCAAATATATCCAATGTAATGTTAGAAGTAGGTGATAAAAAAACAACGAATCTCGATATATGTCTTGCTTTTACTGGTGTAAGAATACTAAGGTCGTGACATGGTATATTAGATCGGGGATAAGTGTTTTTTTTTTTGGTATCATGAACACAGCCGCTGRGATATGTGAGATCTGAATGGATTAGATGTATAGTAATGGGATGGGATCAGCTTTTTCGCCTTGGGATCAGCATCGCAGCCGCTGSGAGATCAAATTTGGGATAAGATTCAAGAGAATCTAGATCAAGAGAAAATAATTGTACCCTGTCCCTAAGTTAAAGTTTTTATTACCAATTTTTGTCATAAAAATTTAGTTTGCTTTAAGTAAACATGTGGCGCTCTAAGAAATTAGCGGCTGTTTAGGATATGTAATATCGGTGAGACGTAAAAATAACCGGCGGCAAAAGGCAAAAATCAGCGGCGGTAACAAGGCCGGTAGCGCGAATATTATTGAGAGCACTGTTTATGTAAACCGGTAAAACAAATTGTATATTATATTCTAGTGCAGTATATTACCATATATAATCGTTGACAAAATCCTTGGACCATTCCAGCGAATTCCGCCATTTTTAGTAACACCCGCCGCAGACAATTTCACCCTCCCCTCCCCTCCCCTCCCCTCCCTCTTTTCCCTAAATACAATGTTGTCAATGAGCATGTTACCATAGTACACAACCATCCAAAACAATACCCAACATTGATGAAAGGGGGCTAAGACCGTCTAAGAGGGAGAACTGTGAAAAATATAAAGGAGACAAATGTTAGACTGGAGAAAAATAAAGTTCTATGGTCCATGGTTTTTGGCAACGATTGTAGCTTGTCCTATCTAAGTTCAAATTCCTCAATTCAAATTAATTTCAGTTCAAATTTGCCGTGAGAAAGAGGGAAATCATTTTAAAAATACAGTACTTACCCGCTTATAAGAACCTGCAATTTAAGAACTTGCTAGCCTAAAAATATCAATTTAGACCCCATTCTTTACATAGGAACCTTTTTAGCCTAAAATTTGAAACAGGTTCTTATAGAAAGGTTCTTATAAAAATTAATAATTTAAAATATCTTCATGCAAAAAATATAAATAGAAAATAGTGAATTGGAGCATGCATACACTTCTAAATTTGGTATAAATAAGTTTTGAGAACCTTGTCAATTTTCTTAAGGGATAAGCCATGTCTTGAATTAAAGTGTGGAATAATGCTCACATACTGTCTAAAGGCTAATGCCTGTTTTGGCATTATTAATATACATTCCACCTTGCTAACATTCACAGGTGTATAATATAATATTTCTCATTAAATACAAACCTATTTAAGAACCTGCGTAGCCTAAAATTCCACTAAGCACTATTTACATAAGAACCTGTTTAGGGTAAATTTGAAAAACATGGGTTCTTATAAGAGGGCAATAAGTACTGTACAATAAAAAAACCTAGATCACCGGACGTTAAGTTAGGGGGATTCCCCTTTTTCCCATCCCCTGAATCGGCCCCTGACATGTGCATTCGGAGGGGAAAGGGGGGAAAACGGGGGAAAGGGGGCATTCCCCCTTTTCCCATCCCCTGAAAGCGCCTCTGAATCCGAATTCGGGAACAGATACGAGCAATGATCTAAAAAAAGTTGCAAACATTCAAATATACTAAGATTTCCAAAGAAATATATAATATATATTTACTTTGTATGGAAGATGGTTAACAATCCGGACACATTCACATCCCATTCATAATTTCGAACTTCGAGATTTTTCCCAGTCMACTCTCGACTTGAAATCCGGCAGTKGTCCGTTGGTATGATAATGTTTCAATGRCTTTGAAAATATCTTCGAAAATACRCAAAAACCTTTTAATTAATCTATGATCCAATTCGTAACTTTTAGTTTTGCATAAGTAATCTGACACTATCATGACGTTATAAAACCATCCCTATAAGATTACGTCATAAACCATATATAACTTGTTATGCAATCTGACTCTTTGTTGTGATTCTGAGAAATACMCCCGGAAAAGCATATTTCTGCTTCATGATATCATTTTGCCTCTATGGGTAAAATCCCATACGTCATAACAATTTTCTTACAGTTCTCTCTGCATATCAACATAAGCATGACTGGTCACAGCTCAGTATATCATTTATATCAGCGACTGTTCGTGATATCCTTCAAATCTTGCATTCGACCCTACAGGCTCACTTGAACGTAAGTATCATGACAAAGCTATTTTTTATGCTTCCTCCTGGAAGATTTAATCACACGAAATGCGTCACAGGAAGCCCAGTTCTTATTTAAAAGCGAGTTATTACATAATATTTATCGTGAAAAAACATCAAAACTTACTCGGTGTGTTCAGCCTTAATGCTTGGTCGAATTTAGAGCGATATTATTTGATATTCGCTGGTTTATTCGAGCACAAAATCACCTGAATTTCACTTTTCTAATAAAATTCTTTGCAATTCTTGAGAGTACATGAAAACGTCATTTATACTGAGCCATTTTATTACTTTATTCACTAAGAGCAAATGAACTAAGTCAATGTAGGGAAAAGTGTAAAATATAATGAATATAATGCCTAAGTTTAAATAAATTTTATCACCTTATAAAATAAGAAATTGCAAGAAACATTGAGTTACTTTAATATATTCTCTGTAAATCGAGAGAATTGAGCGCGTGAACTCTCTGYAGAGAAATTTGTTTTTAAAAGCGAAATGACTTGGTTGCACTTCCGTTTTGATTGCATTGTACGTCTTTAAAACAAACAAAACCATAACAACATATTTTTACACTATATCGGCATTATAAGACACTTCATGTAAACATACAACGCTTCAATAATAAAAGCTAACGTGGTTTTCGGATCAGATAGCAGGATTATATTGGCATACTGTACCGTAAGTAATGGCCCGAGTAAGAACTAGGGAAGCAAACGGCAAAAATGCAAGAAGGTGCTAATTGTGCATTGTATAATCCATCCATTCCATTGGTTAAAACATGAAAATCTGCTATAATTTTACAAGTTATCAGAATTTCTGTTATTTCATTTGATGTCTGTTTTCACTTTCATGAAAGCTTTCTTTAGATTCAATATTAAGGCAATTCTACGTGGGGAACATAGCAAATTAGAAGCATCTTTTGGCTATTGTTTTGAGTGCTTATTATTGGATAAGAGCTTTTAATACAAAAGAAACTTTGTTTCAAAATAGAGTTTATCCACATTTTATTTCAAAAATGCGTTACCCACAGGCTAATATATAATCAGTGTGAAAACCAAGACATTCGTACGTGGGAAAGTTGCAATGCCGCAGAACAATAGAGAGTTCCCTAGTTCTTTAAGCGCAAAGTTTAAAAAACTTTATTACATAGCTGGTCTGCACAATCCAGAACCGCGCGCAAGAATATAGATTATTAGATTATTATAGTTAGATAAGTTAGAATATTAGATTCACAAACGTCAATAATTACCGACGTTTTGTAAAAATTTTGGCACTAATTAAAGTTATAAAATAAAACTCGACTGAAACGGCAGAATAGATTCAGTATCTAAGCTAGAGACAAATCCGTTCAAC